TTTTTCATCCCACACATATTGATCATTTCCCACCTTGAATTATTTTCCCTGCTTTATGGCTATTGTGCTCTGCGAGCAAGACACATTGCCCAGGTACCCAAGCCAGGGGTCACTCCCCATCTCCTTTTCTCCTTGGGAAAGGTTATTGTCAAAGGTGCCAACACACATTCTGTCATATGCCACAGAGTCAAACTCTGCTAAGTAACTAAATAAAGATGTAATTTTAATGATGATTAAATTGAAGCACCTCATTAATTTCATGTGAGAGGTGGGGAAGTACACGGCAGCTCTTTCCCTAAATTCATTGTTTGTCTGGCTGCGAGACATCCCCTCGCAACGTCTGGTTGAGTCTAATTTAAGTATGTAAATTTAATGGTTCAGTAAGTAAAATTGCCTTTATTGTTTGGAATGGTTTGTGCAGTAATTTATGAGTTAGCAAGCCTCATTTGATAGGAGTGTATGATAGAGCAGGTGACAACAGTGAAGGACATATTTATCTTTAAGGAGGTAGCTGATCCACCATTGTACATCTGGGCTTTAAAGTCAGAAACCAGACTGCATCTTAATACTCCAGTCAGTGAGAAGGTTAAAAAGAGCCTGCTGGATCAGGTCAGCGGCACATCTGGTCCAGCATCCTGTTCTCACAGTGACCAACCAGATGCCTGTGGGAAACCCACAAGCAGAAACCCACAAGCAGGAACCAAGTACCAGTATTCAGATGCATTCCTGCTTCTGTGTATGGAGGCACAACATAGCTATTAAGGCTGGTAGCTATTGATAACTCTCTCCTCCATGAATTTGTCTGGTCCTCTTTTCAAGCCAATCAAGTTGGTGGCCATGACTGCCCCCTTGGGTATCATTTTGTTTACAGAGCAGGTGCTGAGATTGCAACAGAGGACTTCAGAAAACAGTCAGAGTTGTGTTTAACAGGTTAGTAAGGGCTTGTGCAGGGACGCGAGTGGCGCTGTGGGTTAAACCACAGAGCCTAGGACTTTCTGATCATAAGGTCGGCAGTTTGAATCCCTGCGACGGGGTGAGCTCCCGTTGCTCGGTCCCTGCTCCTGCCAACCTAGCAGTTTGAAAGCACGTCAAAGTGCAAGTAGATAAATAGGTACTGCTCCAGCAGGAAGGTAAACAGTGTTTCCGTGCACTGCTCTGGTTCGCCAGAAGCGGCTTAGTCATGCTGGCCACATGACTCGGAAGCTGTATGCCAGCTCCCTCGGCCAATAAAGCGAGATGAGCACCGCAACCCCAGAGTCGGTCACGACTGGACCTAATGGTCAGGGGTCTCTTTACCTTTACTAAGGGCTTGTGCGTACTTCTGCTTGTCCTGCCATTTACCTCAGAATCAGAGCAAACATCAATCAGGTTTTCTGCAAATTGACATTTGTTCTAGTTTAGCGGCAAACAGCAGGTTTGCCCAGGCAGAACAAAAAACCTCTCAGAGCCTTGCCGATAAAGTACGGAACAAGCGGAAGTGTGGATGAGCTCTAAGTGAATAAGTGTTCTGTGGCTTCATTACCAAGCCAGAAAACTGGGAATTCATGTTTTGTTGACTCTTGCAGTATTGACTCCCGTACTGTAATTGAGGTGGGTCTTCCTTTGAAGACAGCCCAGAAGTTAGATGGGATTCTAGAGCTGGGGAGGGGGCAGATAGACACGGAGTACATAATGCCTATCGCTCCTATTTGCACCTACCTGCATTACCTGCCTACATGCTTCCTGGTCCAATTCAGAATGCTGATTTGTGGTCTGGGGCCTGGACACTTTTGGCAGACTCTCCATGCTCCCTCATGTCTGCAGAGAGGGTGATGTTTTCTGTCTCAGCCTAAACACAGTTGAGATCCACAAAGTCTCATCACAAGGCCTTCTCTGTGGTAGCACCCAAGCTCTGGGATACATTTCTTTTGGTGGCATGCCAGGCCACTGGTGGTTTCAGGGGACTTGGTTTTTATACTGATTGTTGCTTATGGGCATCCTTGTTAAAAATTATATTTCTTGAGTTTCCTGCTTTTGGAAATCATTTTCAATATGCTTATTTTAATGATTTTTATTGTACTTATTTGTTCGCTTCAGGTGCTGTTTTTGCTGGCAGGGAAATGCTAACTGCTATATGAATGCTATGAAAATGCTAAATAAATAAATAAATAAAGTGGACTGAAAAACAGAATAGCATCTAAATGCAAGTGTGTTGTACACTTGTTTGGTGACAGTAACGGTTCCTTTTGATTAAATACCACCGACGCATAATTTATTGTCTTTAAGCTTAAACATTTTATTCAAGTCAGAAGATGAATGTGGTGTATTGACAGCAATACCAAGAGAGCCAAACCCCTTTTCATGGCAAAAAACTTTGTATTGGTTGATTGATTGTGCATTTAATCTATAAATGGGCCAATTAGGCTACACTGCTATACCCACTTACCTGGAAGTAAACCCCACTGAACTCAATGGGAGTTACTTCTGAATAGACAGGTATGGTATATGGTTGTTTACTTGACCTATTAATAGTTTTCACCCCCGGTCTTGACACTATTTGTTGAAACATGCTTCATTTCTCTTGCTTGGTTTAAATATCCATTCAGAAGGCACGGAATAGGGCTGGCCAAAAACAAAAACAACCCTCCAAGGCACAATCTGGGAGGCACAAAAAAAGGGTGCTGAGGATAACAAAGCGCAGGCACACTGCGACGCAAGAGCTGCACCCCACGCTTAGGGGTGTCCCTAAGAGCAGTGCTGCCATTTTGGGTCAGTACTGGCTCAAGCCACGGTGCATAGGATTCTGTTTTGCTTCACAGGAATTGTTTTTGCATACGAACCATTAGCCTGTCTTGCTCAAGAATAACAACGCTGATTGTCAGCAGCTCTCCAAGGTCTCAGGTAAAAGCCTCTCCCAGGCCAGCTACCTAAGAACTTTATATCACAGAGGTGCCAGAGTGCACCAGTACCACTCCACTAAGTTTTTCTCCCTCCTCACTTTTGCAGGTAATTAATATTATATAATTGAAAAAGCTACTCTGTTTTAATACTCGATGAATCTAGATATCAAAACAAGACCAAAAAATAAAATAAAATAGGAGGGGGTGTCATTTGTCAGGTCTCTGCCAGATTTGGGGATTTGCTTCTTTGATGTACTTAGAATTCTCACCGAGCCTAGGGGCTTGTCCAGACTGTGGTTTCCTGGATGTCTGGGTTTGGCACTGTGCTGTATGATCAGAAGTGTGGGAAGTGTCCCTGAAGAGTTCTCCCCCACCCTGCCCCCACCATCCCTCCAGCTGTGAGCTCAGGAATTCAACCAAGATTTTCTTTCTTGGAAAGAAAGGCTTAAGGAGGTGGGGGATTTTTCTCATTTAAGAAAAATGATACCAAGAGGAACAGAATAGCAAAATTATGAATGGTTTGGAGAAAATTAATATGGGGCGGGGGAACGTTCCCCTATCCCAAACACTGCACCTCAAGAGTCATTCAGTGAAACTAAGTAAGCAGTGCATTCAAGACAAACAAAGGAAAATATTTGTTCTTGGTATTCTTTGAACAAATGGAATTCATTGCCACAGCATGTTGTGATAGCAACCAGCACACATGGGTTTAACTGTGGATTAGTCAAACTCATAGATACGTTTATCTGTGACACTTAACTAAAATAGCTAAGAGTGGAACCTCTGCACTTGGAGATAACAGACTTCAGACTCCCAGACGTTAGGGAGTAACAACTAAGGATAGCTGCTTGTGAGTTTCTCAGTGGATTATGGCCGGCCACCATCAGGGGTGATTATCATACCTTAGAGTGATCCGGAAAAGTGATTTTAATGGGCTTTATGTCTGTACTCATGTCTGTCAGCAGCACAGGTGATCAGCAAGACCCACCCTATTCTGAGGACCTGACATACCTGAACCAGAGGGATCTGAGCTGCTGAAAGAACACCCTCTATTCCCCAAAAGGGAACTGATTGGACAACCCATAATAGTTCTTTCTTTAGGAAGCTGATGTTACTCATAATGGCTTGAACTACAGGCAGATTCTTGATTGGAGAGGATGCTTCAAATGCTTCAGTAGCTGCTAGGTTCACCTTCACTCTTGTTTTGCATAATATTAAAGTTCCAGATGATTAGGTAATGACCTTCTTCCTACTTTATTATTGTGTCTGGGTACCAGAATGTAGAGAAAAGGTCAGCTTCTCTAAGGACACACTGGTCCTGGGATAGACACCTTAGTGACCACAGTACATCTTTAGTGGCTACAAGTAAGTTACTCCAAGGATTATCCTAAAGCCACTTCTAATTAGCCAAGTTCTCCACTTACCTGAAGGTCCTGTGGAAGGGATTTCCACCCAGCTGGTCATATTTATATGTATTTTCTCAAGATGCAGACCACAGGCATTTGCATTGGTAGACCAACCCTCAAAACAACTGCATATAATCCTTACAGCTGCATAACATCATAGTGATGTTCATGGGCAATGCACCATACCTTTAATGGCTGCTAGTTGCTCCATTCAATTTTAGATAGAGCTGTGTGTCTCCCAACACCTTGAATTTCTCTGATGCTAATGGCAAATACTCTCTGATCTTTCAAATATTCAAGAAACATCTGATATTCATTCAAGATTAAAGGTAGTCAACAAATACGAGATCTCTGCATGGTAGATGGATATGCAGCTATCAATGATTGACATGATGGTGGTATCTAGAAAGTGGATGGTCAAACCATGGCCTCATAAACCACTTTGTACATTTTTTTCCCTCCCACAGAAAGGCACAGTGGTCCAACCAGTAGCTGCACATGAGCCTGGTTGGGTTGGCAGCCTTCCAGTGGCCAGGCTTAATCCTCTCAAAATCACTTGCATTACAATGAGTGTCTGAACCAGGCCAGAGTTTGGAGTTCTCTGTTATTTGCACTCTTGCTACAGTGTATGTCTTCTGCTGCATTTCATACTATCCTCTGTCAAAGATACGATATCTGATGGACTACTGTTCTTGGTCAATAAGGCTGCACTTATAGTGTGTGTGTGTGTGTGTGTGTGTGTGTGTGCGCGCGCACACACACACACACACACACACACTTCTATATTTAATCGTATGCCTTAAAAGAATTTCCTTTCTATGTTTCTTCATTTCAGTATCCATTTCTGTGCCTCTTGTATTTGTTCATCCCATCACACATGTCACTGAGTAAAAGGAAAAAGGAAAAGAAAAAAATGCACATTAGGCTAGAAAAATCTTATTTGCTTTACTTATAGTCTGCCGTCTTCCAGAAAATCTGTTTAGGGCAGTTTGCAATCATGTAACATAAGCATGAAAAGAAGGAAGAAAGCATAAAAACAAGCAATAAGTCTCCACGAAGGAACATAAATATGCAAGAATATAGGCAACCATACAAAGAAGAAAAATATACTGTAATCCCAGAGCAGGCTTTAAAAGGTAGCCAATGCAAAATAAGATACATTATTATTTCTCTGTGTTGCAAATTTGTATCCCACCTTTTTTCAAAGGAGCATAAAGCACTGTGTGTGTGAGGGGGGTGGGGGTGGGAAGAGATTTTATCCCTCACAACAACCCCTTGAGATAGACTGGGTAGAACACTGGTTACTCTTCCAAGACCTCTGCACCATGGTGGTTATCTGAATCATAGAAATTCAAATGCCTTGCAAACCTCTGGCTTCCAAAGCGAAGAAAGACATATTCTGACCCAAAGCAAACTAACTTGATATAGGGGTTGTTGTTGTTTTAAAAATGTCCTCCTGAAATTTGACCTGACTTTTTTTTTCAAGCTTTCAGTAGCAATTGAAGTTTTAAAATGTGGCGTACAGTTTAGGGACAAACCCTCGCAGCCCACTCTTACCCCTGAATAAATAACGGAAGAAGGTACATATGGACTGAATCACTTGCCTGATTCACATAGAGCTCTGCAGGCCCTTTGAGGGTGGGCATGCAGTTTGCTCTCTGCTTTTGGCACACTGTGGTCTACGGATCACATTATTCTGTGGGGAGCTGTTCTAACCCTTCTGACCCAGTGACTCCAAGTGAAACATACTTGCAGCTAAGGCTGGAGTTAAATAATCTGGAAATACATATCAGGAAGTTGTGTATTTGTGGTGGCAGTGATAGCATCTGCAGAAATAAGGAAGGATCCTGATTAAAGAGGCTCATATAAATATATAATTGCTTTATGCTAGAAGCTGGGCTTGAGTAAGGGATAAAGCATGAAGAGAGTAACATTACTGGAAAATCCTGATTCAATGTCCTTGCAGTCATGAAATGAATGTTATTTTGGATCAGGGATTTCAGATTGATTTGTGAACTCCAGTTTTCCTCTATGGCGAAAGAATGGGCAGACAGCTGACTGCTGGACCTGGTTGTGAGCACCTGCCTCTGTACCCATTTGCCCCACTCCATCTTCTTCCTCTTTCCCTTGCATCTCTGGACAATTCACTCTTCCACCCCTCTTTTCCTAGGTCCCCTGCCCCTATGCTTCCTTGTCTGCTGCCTTCTCATCCCTCCCTTCCTTCCTCCAGTTTCTTCTTCCATCCTACCCTACCCATTTCCCTAGACCAGGGGTAGGAGAACCTGCTGTGGCCCTCCAAATGATGTTGGGACTGCAAACTCCCATCAGCCTCAGCCAGCATGTTGAGCAGTCAGAAATGATGGGAGTTGCAGTCCAACAACATATGGAGGGCTACAGGTTCCCCCATCCTTGCTGCCTGCCCTGCCTTGCCTCGCTCTAGGATTTGAGTAGATACAGGCTTGGTACCATGCTCTGGGTAGCTGGTTTACTTGAGTCTTTCAAGGCTCTCATTCATTCCATGTTGCCAAGGATAGTGCATAGCTGATTTCTCCATGTCAAAATGCAGCACAAAGTTTGAGTGAGCATGCTCTACTTTGTAAACCATAATGAGGAGACATTATTCATCCATGAGATGTTTGCTCTTGCATTGTCAGAATGTGACTCAACATTGGCCCATCCAATGGCAATAATGTCAGATCAGTTGGTGACTGGCTGTCAATAATTGCCTGTTTGGTATCGTGTGTGTCTCACAGTTCATAATCCAGGTCAGGACTTGAACTTGATTCCTAGGTCATAAAGGGTAGATAGCATAAGTATCCAGTGTGGCCAATTGATACAGCATTAGCTCTGCCACTATTTCATTCAATTTCCTTGACAAAAGCATCTTGTTTCAGGTTTGGAGCCGTTTTCAGTGTGACAGGACTAAATCTCCCCTCACTTTAAAGGCCATTTGGGCTTCCTTGTCAGATCTGGGCAGACATAAATTATGACATTTTTCATTTTGATTGACAATTGCATTTGAAGGAAACCAAAAGCTACAATTATGCCACATAAAGTTGGACAAGTGAAACAAAAAAGGGCAGTGATTGTTTTACAAATGTGTATATCAGTCCACCTCAGTTAAATGTGTCTTTAAAAACATTTGGGCCTCGCTGAAATTCATGGCAAGAAAATGGACAGTATTATCTATTGTGTTCATATCTCATTCTTCCTTTGGGAGGCTCAGAGAGGCTTACATATACTTTCCATTGAATCTTCCATTGAGATTTAGACCAGCAGGAGACATGCTTAATTTTAACACAGAAATACTTATCTTCAAGCCATTTCCTTATTTCCTCCCTCACACACCTTCTGAAATTCAGGAATTCAGATTTGAGATCTGAACTGCACTAGTTTGGGTCTATCAATGTTTATTTGAAGCTATATATGCTTACTCCTTGTATAAGGAGAAGGAGATAATGGGGCAGGGGGGTGACACGTAACACATTATTCCCATTTTGCATTGTTCCCCACACCTCTTAACTGACTTGCTTGGCTCCTTTCATGGATATTGATGTTTCCTGAGCTTCATCCAGGCTTGGTTGTTCAGCTTCTACTGTCCATGCAGAGTCAGTTGAGTTATCTATAGCATGGTGGAAAGTCATTGGAACTGACCCCTTGTAGAATGGCAGGAGTGACTGTGAAACTTACTGTTCATCTTCAGTTGGGTGTAGGAAATGTCCCTATATCTCCTATGGCCCTTTACCCAAGGCAATAAGCATGCCAGCCAATAAGGCATTCTTAGACATACCACCTGTCTCTCACCTCACCTCTACTTCCAGCAACATTTTCTTGCAAATTAGCTGTGATAGCAGGTTTCAAGACCATCTCTGTGTGCACTCTCACCCTGTGTCCCTTTTGAGAACCAGTGGTTCTCTGAAAACTAATCTGCAAATTTGGTTTTCTTGCTGTTTCTTGGCTGCCTCCTTAATTTATGCTCAGCTTTACACCTCTGTCTGTGCAGTCACCAAAATGAGAGAAGCCAAATACATATCCCAGTCCACTGGCATTCTAGGATTTACCCCCCAAGTTATTCCCAGGAAGTTTATTTCAGCTAGTCAAAGATGCCACCTTCTGGTATGCCTACAGAGGCCATGGCTTTGGATAAATGTGCCATTGGTCTGATCCAGCAGGGCTCTGTCTCCTATGATTGCTATCCATAGTTGTGTGTGTGAACTAGGCTAGTGTTAGATCAAATACATTACTTCCTCCACATAGTTTTTGTGGCTTCATGATGTACCGCTGTCTGCTATCGCTCTCTGGAAATATCAAGTAATGTAATGTAATAAGAGTCCTGCTGGACCAGAGCAAAGTTTCATCTAGTCCCGCATCCTTTTTCCAGCTGTGACCAGCTAGATGTAGTCAGGAAACCCAGCAGCACAACACACCTGTAATGTTTTCAGCCTTTAGTGAAAAGCTGGTCAGAGGAGATATCCAGTGATTTATTTATTAAGGATGTGCACCAGCCACAAGATTCAACTGGTATCCTTATCAGTCACTTTGGGAGGTAGCCTAATCTGTTTTAAAGCTACTAAATTTCCAATTAGACTTGTTTCTCAGGACCAAATTAGATCTGGGAGGGGGAGCTCTGTTACCTACCCAGTCCATTCACTAACCATGATGTGGGAAACGTGTGGCCACAATCTCAGGCCAGTTAAGGAGGTTAGAATCAGTGCTACAACCCTGTAGCAGATAAATAGAACCCGTCATCCTCTGCTGTTTTCCTGATTAAGAATCACTTCATTCCCCCAGTGTTGTTATGTGGACCATGAAGGAGGAAAGCATACAGGCATTATACCAGGCATACATACGTTTCCCCCCATGTGGCAAAGTAGCAGCTGGGGTGATTTTAATCGGATATATGGCTGGGGGAGAGGGAGGCTTAGGGCTGCTGCAGCCCAATTTTCCTCTGCTCCACCACAGTTGTTTGTTTTAAATGCAGGAGATCCCAATCGCATATTTCATATGTCACATAATGTTTGGCCCTAAGATTTCAGGCTGAACAGCAGCATCCTTCAGACTTGATGTTCTAAGTTGTACTGAATAATTCACACTGCTTTTGATATGCCCCGATTTTCCTTTCTCTCGCATTGTTTAGTGTTACTATAACCTAATCTGATAAATTATGTAAAGAAAGTAAGATTGAAACCCACTGGGAAGAAAAGGGGGGATATTTTCATGTCTTGCAGTTTCCTGTTCCGCCCTTTTGTTTTTTTGTTTTCTCTCTCCCTCTCTCCCTCTTTCTGGTTGTCATCTTCTTTCATTTGAGCAATCCTTTGTGAGACTTGAAAAGGTCAGTGCCCCCCACATTAGGATTATAGGCAGTGGGCTGAGTTGAAAGATATAATTGAGCCCCTAGAACTCAAGAGACTTCAACCTGTCCTGGTCATCAGACAGGGGTTGTTCCTTTGAAACAACTAAAGGGTCTACTTATGCCAGTGCATGTTGAGAGTGGTGGTAGGATTTCAAAAAAATATTGGTGGCTCTATCAAAAAGGTAATTAATGTCATCTAATTGGTCTCGAGGCCCTGTGCTACAGCTCAGCATATGCAGCCTGCTTTGCCAAATGCCCCCCCCCCTCTGCTTTTCAGCAAGAGAGATAATGCTTCCTTGATACCTGCAGTTGTCCACATCCCAATCCTTAGCTCCAGAACTCCACAACTGGAATGCGGCAACTTTGAAAAATGCCCCAGATGCAACCAAGACAGGATAGCAAGTGGACTTCATTGGGTGCATAATATA